CGTTAAACTAGATGACACATAACGTTACTCTGCTTATACAAGCGGCATTAATTACGAGATGCCGCTTGTATGATTATTTAAACGCAAATAAGCAATAAACCCGACCAAATATGATTGGACTAAACTGAATTGTGATTATCATTCTTGTTAAGATTTGTTCCCAATCTAGGTTTGATTCCATTTCAGATCATTTCATATTTTAAAAGCTCAAACAAAATTGGTTTCATGGATTGGTGACAAGTAATAAACCGAAAGTTCATGTGTGTTTTTCTCTAATTAAGATAACTAGGTTGCAAAACAAATCGACTTCAATTGCATCATGGAGATTAAATCTACTTTGCATAAATAATTTCGGTAGTTGGTATCAATACCTGGTCAAGATCTTATCTTCTGATCAAATCATCAAAGATACTCACCGATCCATGTTCCTATGAAAAAAACATTATTGTGTCTAAAATAAGTTAAAATAATTAATTTGACATTTAAGAATGTTTTAACGGCACAAGAAGTTGAAGCAAAACAGAAGAGAAGCAGAGGTGTGTAGCTCCATCATGGTGACACACATGCACACAACACCTTTTTGTACGGATCTCTCTCTTTCCCATAACCCCCCTTTTGTATTTAAAGCATTTCATTATTCATCAGTGATATATTATAAGAGTATAATGCATGTTTATAGTGTAGTTGTTAGATTTACCAATATTTGAGTTCATTATATTCAGTCATAATAAACAAAGAAAAATAAGTTCTTTAGTACAAAATTAGTTTGAAGCTAAACCAAGCTTCTATCATTGAAGACATGAGCTGCTTGTCCAAGGAATCTAGACCATCAATAATTAATTTTACAAGACCATTTCGCTATCAGACCGAAACCGAGATCACAAATCATGTTTGGCAATAAAAGACCATTTCGCGGCCAAAGACCTTTTGGGAGCTGAAACCATTGAGAACGCTCAAGACTTCAACTATTTTGAATTGAGAAGAGACCAAAGAGATGAGACCGTTGGAGAAGACATGAAGACCATACATGTTTAGTTGAAGATTGAGCCAATTCTTGTTTGCTATATGGTGTGTTATGAGATTCGTCTAAATGATGGTTTAGCATCACACGTTCAATTCACACTGTATAATGTTAATTCAATAAAAAACAAAATTAGTTGTATATTTTATAAATTAAACTAGTCTTTTTTCTTTTTAAAATATATAATTTTTTTTTGTATTCAAATAATACTATTATACAGGGTGGATGTGGATGCATGCGTACAAAAATACTTAATAGACAACAAAATATTTTAAATTATATAAATAAAAGCGACCGACCGTTTCACCGCTCCTTTGATATCTCCCTCACTTTATTACATTAACAAATCAGGAAAAATCAGTCACCAAAGCTTGAAGACGAAACAACACAACAAATCTTTCATCTTCTTCATTTCACTCCATCCATTTACATACGTTCATACTCTCGCTCTCTCTGTAGCTTCAAATTCAGAATGATCATCAGCTTCTTGATTTGATCTCAACCAGGTTTTGCTTTTGATCTTCTTCATAATAAACTCTCTTCTCTCTTTGTAATTGGAATTTTTGTAGTTCTGAATGTTATTCCTCTTCTGTGCTTATTTTTGATTTGTGGATTCTGCAGATCTTGATTCGGAGACGAAAATGATC